GATTTTCACTTATTTCAGTGCCATTTTCACCAATTCATTTCACCCCTTTCATTATATAATGATATTTATACACGCGCGAATATTTACGCTAGCACGTTGACACGGTCAAAGAAACGAGCTCTTTGATTGCCTCGCACACGTTTTTTATCACACACGTAAGCTATATTTACCGAGATAACAAAAACAACGAATAATAACGATAATTACCGATCTGTCCGTCTTGAGTTACCGTACCATTTTCGTCGTTGTTCTCCTTTCGTCGCGTTTCTTCGCCTCTCGCGCCTATTCGCGCGTTTCTCTCCCCGTCTCGCAAACCATCGCGCGCGAGGGCCCCCGACACGAAGCCCGATTTACGATCCGGGTGGGTGCATCCGGTTAGAACGAGGGAGAACACCGCCGGAAGCCGAGGAAATAACGGGAGCCTGGCTGCTAAATATTCAATAAACGCGAACATTATTCGTGGCACGTCGGCGCGGAAGCTGGCTCACGCAAGAGCGCAGGTGAAGATGTAACGCGAGAAAAATCGCGAAGAAGCCGAACGAAGGAACGAGTGACTCGGCTGAGGGATAACAGGGAACCCGGGAACTGTGGACGACCGAACCGAGGCTACTTATCCTTATCTCGTTGGAAACTAGCGATCGAGATTCTCTCGCGTCTGTGAGCGTAGAGAATTTCTCGAAATACACGTTCGTTCGTGTGATGATTTTTCTTTTCTGTGTGTGTCAGGATTCTAAAAATTTGAAAATTACCGATTCAATTTCGTCAAATGAATTTGCCAATTTCAGTCGTTTTCAGATTTTGCAACCGTGAAAGCATTACACGCCTTTCAAATATTTTCCAAGAGGAACACAACTAGCTAGTCGTTCTAGCTTATTGGGTTTCCACGTATGGACAACTCCAGTTTGGATATCCATTTTTCATAAGATAGTCACTCGAGGACAGGACCTGTTCGAGTTCCAAGTGAAGTCAAGTTACAAGAAAGCCTCTGGACTTTATTGCATTCTGCAAATATTTCAATTTCGTTGCTAGCACGTGTAATTAATATCTGTTATTATTCACGTTATTTGTAGCGAGATACTCAGGATTCAACGTAACTTTACTTCCCTCAAAGACAACTTGCCTCAAAGATAATAATTGTCCCGAGAGGACAATTGCATCGATTTAATCTAATCTTCATTTACGACAAACTCGCGACTTATCCAACGTAATTTCCGCGAACGATAGAAGGTACATACTTCCCTTGAAAATATCAAAGACAAACTCGTGAAATGAAAACAGAGAGAACTGCGTCTCACGTTGTTTCTGGAATCAATCAATAAACCTTCTGAGCTCCAAAACCCGCATTTGTTGTCAAAGCGACTCGGGTGAATCAATCGCTCGAAAAACTGTTGGAGAATCCTGCACTGGAAGTGCAGGAAAAAAAGAAAAAACATCAACGAGAAGACGAAGAAGAAGAAGACGGGGCGGTGAGCAACGTTTCCGAGGCCGGCTCGATAAATTTTCATGATCGGCCCTCGTAAATGAATCGCCACGGCAAAAACGGACGAAGACGTGTACGGTAATTGACGACATTAACGTCCGGAATGCCGTAAAAGCGAGCGCGAAATGAAATACGACGTTTCACTGTTCCGCTTTTGGTTCGCCGCGCGCCGCCAACAAATTATACCGGTGCGGACCGCGCCAGTTTTCTTCTCTTTTTTTTTTTTCCTTTTTATCCGTCCCTCCCTCGCGAAACGAACGAGAGGACAGAAAACAGCAAGTACAACGTACGAAAGGGATAAGAAGAAGAGGGAGGGGAGGAGGGGGGGGGGCGAAAGTGCGGCACGAAGGAGAGAAAAATCGGGGGGATATTTACAATGGCGGTCACGATCGAGCTGCGAGAAAACGGGAAATTCAAATCGGCCGATCGCCGCGATGAATATGGATGCCGGCCGGCGCAAGAAAAACACGACCGGAGAGACGATCTTTGTGATGCAAATGACGCGACAGTCCTTGTCTTTATTAATATCGAGAATGTGTTTTCGACGGGAAGCCCTTTAGGGGTGGCGAAGAGAATGGGGGGGGGGGGGGGGGGGATAAACGAGTCCGCTCCTTTTTTTCTTTCCGTTCCTCTAAATCTCTCTCTCTCTTTCTCTCTCTCACTTTTTTCCCCCTCTTCGCCGCCTCGCCAAGTTAATTCCCGATATCAAACGAACCACTTCCAATTCTATTTCTGCCTGTTTGCTCGGCAAACAAATCGCCCGGGACCCATTAACAGGCACCAGAAAGCGTTTATGTACCCAAGAGAGATACATATCGGGCAACCTCGCGCCATTTTTCTCTCTCACTCTCTCTCTCTCTCTTTCGCGCGCGCGCGGCTCTCCTGCGCGACAAATCCTGTTAAGATATCCGGCCGCGGACGAATGACGTAATCGCGCTCGCTCAAAGAGAGTCGCGAGAAACGTAATTTTTCCGTGCAAACAATGAGACAGACGCGACATCAAACGTACGTCGGGACAACAGACGGTGTGTCAAACGGCCGTTTCGCGCCGTTGACAGTATATTTTCGGCGTTAGGGATTTATTTTAGCGAGAGAGAGAGAGAGAGAGAGAGAGAGAGAGAGAGAGAGAGAAGGAATTCCCCCGCGCGACGACCTAGATAGTCCCTCCCTCTCGTTGACAAACCGACGTTTTTGCCACGTTTGCGTTTCACGTTGAAACGGATCCTGTTTTAAATACACCGCTTTGAGGTGACGAATTTTTCTCGGTGCTCCGGATTCATAATTCAATCGGCCCCGCGAATTGTCTCTCCGATCGTTAAGTTCGTACGATCGTTACGTATTGCAGGAGCGTTGCATTTACGTTTTCGACTCCTCGGGTATCGATAAATATCCCGAATCATTTATATATATCAGCCATAAGTAACTTCGTTTTTTTAATATTAACTTAATTTACATACATTATCCATAAGTAATTTCGTTTCTTTTTTTTCAAATTTAACAAACATTGCCGTCTAGTGACAATGATTTAACTTATTATAACACAACCTTAATTTAGTGTGCTTATTGTTGAATTATAATATAGATTACGCTTAAACTATATAAACTTTTAAATGAAATAAAATTTTCTACAGTATCGAAAAACGATATTACCTGTGGCTACCCTTGATAAATATTCGCGTAAAGAGTTTCCACTGTTAGGGCACAATTACATTTCAAAGGCACAACGATAAAGTGAAACAAGCGACTTTCGATATTATAATACCGATTGCAGTATCCTGTGGGTTTCAACGTTGACATTCGACGATGTTACTGCATGATTTTCAATGACAAAAAAATACCGAAGAAAGAACAATTCTATTAACGGTGCAACGTTACTAGAATAGTATTTCAACGTCATACGACGTAGAAATGTTATAGCAACCTCAAGTAGGGTAAGGTAGAAGATTATTATATATAATATACTAATACAATAAATAATTATATACTGTATAGTATAATTATATACTGTATAGTATAGTATATAAATTATTATATATTAATACAATACAGTGCTGGCTTACATTTAATTTGAAGATTTTTACGTTGAGCAGGACAACGAAACGTATTTGCAATTTGTGAAATCTGATTTCAATTACCGTCGAATTGTAGCGAGGATTTTAACTACCAACAGGTACTTTATTACTCTTCGATTTATCTTTTTCAATTCCAAAACAGGTCAACAGGTCGCTGACTGATCCTTCCAAATTAATAGCGCCGATACACCGCGTTCCGTTGGACGAGTCGAAATACAGAAGCCCGAAGGCTGAAGCATCGAAGCGTCCTCAGGGGGACAGTGAGCACGCAACGCGCTCAATAATTCGTAATAAAGGGGCGTTCGATTAGGTGGCCGGTTTTTCTCCGGTGTTCGAAAGTCGTCGGAGGACAACTCGGCTCCGGTCCCCGCCTTCCCCTCGCGCAATTTGCATGTTATTACCTTGTTTACATATTTATTCAATAGCCAGGGATCCTGGGGGATCGCCTCCCTAATCCCGAACCTCTCTCCCCGCCCCCTTTAATTTCGGATTAAGGGTCACGCGCGGGACCACCGAGCCGAACGATTAGTAAGTCGCCGCACGGATATTGCCCGGCCGTTGGTTTCAGAGCTCGCGCGCGCGCGCGCGCGTTCACGCGTCATGAATGAAAACATAAATTTCACCGAGGCACGCCGAGCTATCGCGCGTTAAGTCAACGAAGTAATTACTATACCGAGCTACCGGTGCACGTGCGTGTAAAACAGGCACACACGCGCGTAATTTCACGCACGCACGCGCGCACAAACACACACACACAGACACACCTGTGCAACGGTGTACGCGATGCGAACACGAGTGAAACAGACGTATGAAACATGTACATGTACAGGGTGTCCCGTGCAATTGAGATGATTGGAGAAACAACGTAGACTTTCTTGCATGTACGACGATTCAGGTATCAATTACTGATTGATAAATTATGGGGTGTAGATTATTGATGTGATAAGTAAATATAAATATAATAAATAAATTAATATAACCTATTTTATTATATTTATAATGTATAAATATATCATCATATAAAACACATATTTATATTTTACAAGTAAATTAATATAATATGTAATTTTACTAAATATAATAAATATAGTTAAATTTTGTATTTTATATTTATAGCTAAATTTTACTAAATACAATATATAATTTACTAAATTATTATAATATATAATATTGTAATTTAAAAACTGCATGTCGAGCAGATCAATGAAACGACTTATGATATCGTTTAAAATTTGATTTAAATTACTGTTCTGAATCTATAAGTACTCTCTCGCGTGCTCTTGCAATTAAATTATAAAATTCCTGCGCGAAGCTTTTCCAATCCGTGTGGAACACCCTGTACGTAGAAACGAAGGGGACAAACTCGTGTATACATACGATTCACGGCTTCTATCGGCGCGGTTCGATGATATTCATTTGAAATTCAAATGAACGCGAGGAGGGCTTACCTGTTTATGCATTTCCACGTTCAGCCCGTAGGACATCTCGTAATACTGGAAGGATGGAACAAAAAAAAGAAAAGAGATACAATGTATTAGACAGTGGGAGATATAAAGTGGCGAGAGGCAATATCGAAGAAGCGTGCTGTTGTTACAAGCGTTAACGCGATGCTCGCGCTGCGGTACGTGCCGCCGCTAATGCGAAACCAGTCGTCTCGCTCTTGCTTCATCGTCGTCCGCGAGCGCGGAAACGTGAGCCACATGCATTCGCTAGAGAACTGTTTCGACAAAGTAACATCGAAATACATTCATGGAATGAAGGAACGTATGTACGTGGAATAACGAGCAAAACCGAACACACACGTGAATTTTTGTACATGTTGACGATATTTTGTCGAGTGTTTGCACGTAGTATAGAAGAAAGATGCAGAACACATACTGTTTTAGCTTTCCAAAAAAATTTTTCATAATCCCATTGTAGGTCACTATTCCGTTTTCACAAATATGAATTGTTTTCGTGGAGTCAGTTTTGCACCACGATTAATTCAAGTGAAAAATTGTCGATACTTTAAACTGTCGTAACTGCGTTAGAAAAGATCATATACATTCATGTAAGATATAATAATAATTTATAAAATGATGTAATAATCTACATCATTTCAAAACGAAAAGCTTCTGTTTTCAGTACTTTGATTTCATGTCTTTTTTTTTTTTTTCAAGATATTTTAACACAATGCAGTATTAGTGGAAATATTTAAGGAGAAATTGTAAAAACTCACTCATGTGTAAAAACATGAAGAATTTTATTTAGGAACATTTACAACAAACCTCTAAAACTTGCTGTAAACTATATTGAACTTTGAACAACAAAAATTCAAAAAGATCTCAGTATTTCGTTATATCTAGCCCTAATAAAACGGCAAGAAAAAATCGTACAAGTTTTATGGGATCGTTGTAAAAAGAAAATTTCAATTTTCAAAACCATGGTGGATCAAATTACGAGCAAAGTTTTTCAATGTTTCTACAAACGTTTGAATTTTTACAATTTTTGAGAACAAAAATATACTCGCTAGACGGTGTGAAAATATCTTTGGGAAAAAACGAATCTGATACAATCAAAGTAGGAGCTTTACGCTTTAAAACGAGACCGAGTAGATTCTTATGATGATTTTCTTTTACGAAGCTGTAAGTTTAAAGTATCAAAAAGTCATAAAATTTTTCATCATTGTGTGTTCAGTTATGCTTCTTATTATATGTATTATATATAGTTGCTCACGAAAATACACGAGCATTTATAGCAACTTTTCGCGAAAACATTGTATGCATGTTCATACATTCATCAAAATTCTTCTGTAATTTTCGAGTATTTTTGTGAGCCTCTGTATGTTTTCCGAAAACCAAATCCGGGATCTTGAATTTTCATTTGCCAAATTTGCATTCTTTCTAGACCGATCACTTCAACAATTTAATTATGATATATATATATATATATATATATATATATATATATACGTAAATGAAGTTTTAAAAAAAAAGTAAATACGTATATAGGGTGGGACAAAAGTTTCTTTCCACCTTTTTTTTTTTTTTAAATAAAACATCAAAGAAAGAATAATTTTATTAATTTCAAATTAAATTTAAAATTCAAACATAAACTTAAACTAATCTACTTTAACTTGTAAAAAAAAAAAAATGAAAAAAATATATAACAAAAAAATTACGGATTCATTTCAGTAGGAACCTCGTGATTTTTGGCTCATCCTGTATGTTCAGTTTACTGGGGAATGACAACGGACTGCTTGAAGCAGTTCGCAACATCAAGGAGAAATTTTCGCGCAACCAAATATAGGATTGCAACGTACAAATGCTCTCAAATGCACGAGAACTTTCAGATTCAACCGTCCAAGTGGAAATCGAAGTTCAACAAACGAGAAACTTCGATCCAAGTTCAACAGCGTATCGATCTCCGTGCACGGCGAGCGACACTGGCAAGTCACGACGTCCCACAATGCCACGACGGGGGGATACAGATCGAGATAAAGCGAATTTGTGCCAGGAGCCGACCGATAAATAATTTCGCAAAAGGAGAAAAAGAGAAAGAGAGAGAGAGAGAGAGAGAGAACGAATTCTATCGGACCAAAAGAGACAGAGCTGGATCGAGTGTATTCAGCTGCAACTTATTATGCAACGCGTGCTTCAATTGCAGCGGATCGGTCGGATCTCTCACCGGAGAGAAACGAATGGCCACTCCTCGGGCCCGATCTCCACGATCTCTACGATCGATCTTCCCTGGCTAATGGAACGTACTCTGTATTAACGCGGTCCCTTATATAACCATAACCATACGCCGCCGCGTCGCGACTCTTCCCCTCCCCTTCCTTTGGTATTCCAAAATTCCAACCAGTCCTCTTCCAGACAGGAACGACGACGACGGTTTGACATGGCTGAAATATCGAAGGTCGAGAAAGCGAGAGATAAGGGTAGCAGAGAGAGAGAGAGAGAGAGAGAGAGAGAAAGAGAGAGAGAGGAGAGGACGATAGGACGGAGGAAGGAAGCAGGGAACGAGACTTGGATGTAGCTCGGTTAAGCCGAGCAGAAGGATTCCCAAGGGCTAATCGAATTATCGAGTTACCTAAACCGAGATGCTGCTCGAATTCGTAATAACGTCTAAAAGAACCCTTGGAAGAGGGTCTTTAGGGCCGGGGTACACGGCTGCCGAGAGCCGAGATTACATCGATCGAACGAGATTACGAAAAGCGGGCCAAATTGAGCCGTAATGCGAGATCCCGGCCAAGAACGAGAGGATAAACGCGCGCGCTGAGAAAATGAGAAAAACGACCAGCAGGGGATCGTTCCCTGGCCTTTAGGTATCCTCATCCCGTGGCGATTCCACCATGCTCCAGCACCAGAAAGCTGGATGTGTGACGTGTGTGACGTGTGTGTTGGTGCACGCGTGTCCCGTACGTGTACACGCCACGGTCCAAGACCGGTTTCTCGGTAACATCGTTTCTACATCGTGTGTACAAGATCCCCGGGACCGGCTATGCTTTAACTAATTCACCTACCGGTCAGTGATTCTCAATTGTCAGAATGTGCCATCCCCGAGAAGAACGAGGAGAATAGATTGGAGCAAATGTCAGAGAAACTGAAAACGCCACTGACGAAGGCGATTCTTTCGAACAAAGTAATTGCTCAAGATTCAAAGATAAAATTCAAACAAATCTTTTTATCTTTTTGAATAAGTAAACTTTCGAATCCATCCGGACCTCGTTTTTGTTACAATTGATTATATCCCATTAGAGTAACAGAGAGAAATTCAGATTTTACAGTTATTACGTATAATTAATGACGAGTTGCGAGCTACAGATTTTTTATGGATCGAATTGGAGGGATTGTCTAATAAATGTTCGCTTCATCGGTAAACATTTTGAAATTGATTAACCGGTGACCTTCAAAATTTCGCTAGAAGTCTGATCTGAAATATACACGTATTAATAGCTACTACGTATGGGAATTTTTTACAGACTCTTTCAAATCACGCGAAAGGGAAAGAAATTTCCTTTTCTTCTCTAATCTGTGAACGTACCGCTTCGGATGTTGAAGAATTAAAAAGAAGAAGAAGAGAGAGAAAGGGGGAAATGGAACGAGAATTGGGAAAAGCTGAAGAACCCATGAAACGTGTATAAGGGTGCCGCTTCGAACATTTCCCTCGATATGCATCTTTCAACGGTTACACGGCAGAAAAGCACCACTCGGGGATCTACATTTTTCTTTCCCCATGGTAATCAGAATACGTTCCGACAGTTTGGCCAAGCATTCGGAAAATTCTCTGTGCCAGCGAGCTCGAATCTCTGGAACGTATTACACACTTGTCTATCGATCGTCGTACATTTTATACGGCAGGGGTGTAAAATAAAATTTACTCTGCAATAAAATCGGCGACGAACGAAATTCACACGTGTCCGTTTAACTCTCCATCCCTCAATTATGACTCATCTTGCGACTTGTACTTCTGAGTCATCGCAATGGCCCCGTATAATGGTGTATAACCTGCGTCAACCGGAAGACCGTCACTGACAACGAGACGTGAATGGCGGATGCGAAAAGAAATTCGAGGAAATTTAATCGACTTCGACGAAAACCAAATTTTGGCAGAGGATCCTTAATTTGTCGACAGGGTCGATCCTTAACGAGAATTAAAAATTAACAGAGACAAAGCCTATATAATTTATTCTCTAGAGAAAAAAAAAATGGGAAACATCGAGATAATTTGTGATTTTCCAATCACGTTCAATCATTCATCGATGAAACCAAAACCAACTACAAAATAGAAATCTTGGTCAGCTGCTCCTGTAAAAAAAAAAAAAAAAAAAAAAACAGAACGAAACTACGAAACAGAAGCATCAAGAACGTTCTACAGATTTTCTACAGATCATAAATTATTACGAAGAGGAAGAAGAAGAGGAAGAGGAAAAGTGAGAGGAAAGAAAAAAAAAGAAAAGAAAAGAAAGAAGCAGAAACCTCGATTCCAACGAGAAAACACGGGACAGTCAGTCTGTCTGTCTGTATGCCGGTGGCTCGACGAGGTAATTAGCCTTTAATTAATAGACTGCCCCCCCCCCCCCCGAGGAAGCTCGGAAGAAGCGGAGAGGTCGTGATCTTAATTATCGCGAGGCTGGAAACGTAACTCGCGGTCCCGACGCGTTTAATACGAAGGCTGGCAGGAGTTGCGGTCGAAAGAGGAGAGGGAGAAAGCAGCGACTCGGTTCGAAGGGGGCCAGGCTGAAATGATAAAACGACGCGGCAATAAACGTCGTTCAGCCATTAAACTCCGGTCCGAATTCAGTGGCCGGCGCGCGAGAGCGTTCCCCGCTCGTTTCGCCTCTTTCTCACTCTCTCTCTCTCTCTCTCACTCTCTCGCTCCGGTGTCCGTGCGCCGGCGGACAACACCCCTGGTCGGACCGTTCGTTTGCATTTTCAAATTGAACCAGCTTTACGCCGCTATCCGTGAGTTTTATGCCGCATCATCGTGTCCACATTATCGAGTTAAGCCC